AGAGGAAGACCCTTGATGAGATGGGTTGATTCAGTGACTGGGGTAATGGGCGTAGGTGTGTCAGAGACAATAAGATTGACACAGGATAGATCAGGGTTTAGAGTTGTTGTACATAGGATTGCTATGAGTCACAGGTGACTCGACAGCACACAACAACAACAACATGTTCATAGCAGCATTATTCTCAATAACAAGAAAATTGAAACAGCTTAAATATTCATCAACAAGCAAATGGACTGAGAAATTGTGATACATTCACTCAATGGAGTATTATGCAGCACTGAGGAAAGTTATTTTGTGAAATACTATATAATATTAGCAGAGTTTAAAGAGTATTTTGCTAAGTAACTCATTCACATAAGGACAAATATTGCATAAGACTGCTATTGTGAAAATAGGAGAAAAGCTTAGCAAGATACACAGAAATGCCGAAAAGCAGAAGGAGAAGGGCAGAAGGGGGGGTGCAAAAATAAGAGAAGGGAGAAAAATCACTAGGGTAGTGGGGAGAGGTGTGTGTGTGTGTGTGTGTGTGTGTGTGTGTGTGTGAAGGAATAGGAAAGATTCAATGGGACCTTGAAACATAGAGAGACAATAGGCATAAATCAATAGTAATTATATAAAATACAATGTATATGAATGTATAAATACAATGTACATGAATGAAACACAATGACTGTATGCAAACCAGTAAACATATTTGTTTAAATCCAAACATTTGGGGTGGGCCCAGCAGTCTAAGAAGCCCTCCAGATAATTCTGATACATAATAAAGTATGAGGCTTATAGTAGACATCAGTCTTCTAGTACTACACTTGGGGGTATTATTAAAATATAAGCCCTTTTAACCTTGCTCCTTCTTCTCCCATTCTTGTCCTTTTCATCAATAATATCTTTATTCCTTTACATAATTCATGCTCAGAATATCTTAAAAGAAGTTTAAATATAGACTTAAAATCCTGAAATTTAAGTTTAGTTGCAAGACTATCTTTCTTATGCTATTATCTTTTATATTTTCTCTACAATCATGTTGCTACTGTGTACTGCTGAATCAGAACTGACTCATAGCTGACCCTCTAGCAGGTTTTCAGACAGTAAATCGTAAGATAGGAGAATCCTCATCCCTAACTGTAGAGTAGCTAGTGGATTCAAACCTCGTACCTTGTGTTGACAGCACAATTCCTTACTACTAAGCTACTAGAGCTCCTCTCTACAATCATGGGAAGGCAAAATTCACTTCCAAAATGTCAAGCTAATAAAAAACAATGTATACGAACTTGTAAATAAACCAGTACAAAAAAAAACCCTATTTTTTTTTTTTTAAATACAAACGAAGCATTTGGAAGAACACTCCTTTGCCAATTATGCCCTAGTTTTTTAAAAAGGGGAAATACATTTCAAATATGGAAACAGCATTGCTCTTTAGTATTCTTCAAAAACTCTGTCTAGTAACAGAGATATGAAAATAAGGAAAATAGGCAACTCTCAAAGAGTGGACCATTAGACAAACAACTACCATTAACTCAGTGAGCTAAAAATAAAACCAGTGGAATTTGGAGCAAAGACGTCTCTAGGGTATAGGTGTTGTAAAAGCGGCACAGGGTTCTGAAGGAGAAATAGGATGTAATATAAACTGAAAGGGACAAGTGCGGGAGGAGGCTCAAGCAGGCACAAAATAACCAAATGGTGTGAGGCTTGGGTAAACCGGCCTTGGAAGATGCCTGGGGTGGCTGATTAGGGCTCACACAAGTTCTGGGACTCTGCCAACCAGACAACGGACTTCGAAAGGCTTCAGCTCATTGTAAAATGAACACGTTTCTGCCACAGCCATCCTACAAAGCCTTTCAAGGCAAAGACAATACTTCTGAGGTCCCTCAAAGGGTCCCCTATTCGTTCAAGCTGAGATACTGGCTGAGCGCCCCGGCGGTGCCTGACCCTGCTGGTGCTCGGGACTTGGACCGGTAAGGAGAGGCGGGTCCCTCGCACCCGAGCGCCGCGTTGTGGCGGGGAAGTGGCCTCACCGCTCTCACCTGCAGCGCCGCCCTCCAGCGCCTGCCCGCGGCGGCTCACCCGGCTCCAGGCGAAGGCGGGAATGCGGGCGCCGGGTCGACGCGCCTCCTGCCGGGCTGGCTGCGCTGTGCACACGGACGCCGGCGGTTCCGAGCCGTTGAGGCCGAACCCCGGGCGGCGTTCGATGCCGGCGGCCGAGGGTGGGGGCCGCGGGTGTGGAGAGAGCGGGGTGCCCGTCCTGACCCTAGAGGACAGCTTCCCGCTGCAGCTCAGACCCCCTCTTGCTCCGAGGTTTTATAATCTTGCATGGCCTAAGCGGGGCAGCTCTGGCCTTGGGAATGAGTACTCGGACCAATCCAGGCCCACCCCCAGTTAGGTTAGGAGGAAACCAAAACTAGGAGGATCGGGAACCCTAGTTCTCTGCTTCACAAACCCCAATATTTCCACGGCTCTTGTAATTATTAGGTGGGAATTAGGTCAGGAATTGGGTTTTGCAGAAGCTGGGACAAAGGTCTAAACGCTGAATTGACTTACCTAATATGACACTTGTCTCTGAAGTTTAGTCGTAATGTTTCCCGAGCAAAGGGAACACTGCATGGTTCAAAATTGGGAAGGGCGTACGCCAGGGATGCATCCTATCTCCATACCTTTTCAACCTATATGCAGAACAGATTATCCGGGAGGCGGGGCTCTATGAGGAGAAATGTGGGGTCAAGATTGGTGGACGATTTATCAACAATCTGCGTTATGCGGATGACACAACCCTGCTTGCTGAAACTGAAGAGGACCTGAAGCGCCTGCTGCAGAGTGTCAAGGAATGCAGCCTCCAATATGGATTGAGGCTCAATGTTAAGAAGACAAAGATTCTCACCACTGGACCAATTGGCAGCATCAGGATGGATGGTAAAGAGATTGAGATTGTACACAGCTTTAGTTTGCTTGGCTCCACCGTCAACAGTCTTGGCACCAGCAGCCAGGAAATGAAAAGGCACATTGCCATGGGAAAGTCTGCTGTTAGGGACCTCTCCAAAGTACTGAAGAGCAATGCTGTCTCTCTGGAGACTAAGGTGCGTCTGATACAGGCCATGGTCTTCACAATCACTTGTTATGCATCAGAGAGTTGGACAATGACCAAGGAGGATAGAAGGAGAATTGATGCCTTTGAGCTGTGGTGCTGGAGAAAAGTATTGAGAATACCATGGACTGCTAGGAAAACAAACAGATTTGTCCTGGAAAGGGTTAAACCGGGTGGCTCCTTGGAGGCAAGGATTCTGAGGCTCCGTCTAACATACTTTGGACATGTTGTGAGGAGAGACGGGTCCTTGGAGAGGGACATCATGCTTGGGAGGGTGGAGGGACAGCGCAGGAGAGGAAGGCCCTCTATGAGGTGGATTAATTCAGTGACTGGGATAATTGGGATGGGAGTGTCAGAGACAGTGCGATTGGCACAGGACAGAGCAGAGTTTAGGGCTGTTTGTACATAGGGTCGCTATGAGTCGCAAGCCACTCGACGGCACATAACAACAACAACAACAATATGACACTGCCAGAGACTCCCTGTTCTCTTTCTTATTCTGAGAAGTATGAATTGAATGCTTAAAATTCCTCCACTAGAAGGCTCTTTAAGGACAAAGGGTTGGGGGGGGCAGATTTGTTTTATATTCTCACAGTAAGGTGTTGGGGGTTTTTGTAAATGCCCTTAAAGGGGGAGATCTAGAATTTTTCTAAATGACAACTACCTGTATTCATTCTCTCTCTCTCTCTCTCTCTCTCTCACACACACACACACACGCACACACACACACACACACACCTTCCCTTACCTAATTAGACTCTCATGGGCCCTGCATTTTTTTTAAAAAACCAACAATCTCAGGTTTATTTTTCTGTGCATAAAAATTTGAGAAGTAGTAAAGTATGGTTAGAAAAATCTCTACTAAGTTTGCTTCATTTAAAGATGTCACTTTAAAGAGTAGGGTGAACCTAACCCAAGTCATGGTTATTTTTAATTGCTTTATAATTCCTGTGAAAGTTGGATAATGAAAGAGGGACATGGTGTTGAAGAATATTGACTATACCATCGTTTTGACATCTATACCATAGATGCCAGAAGAAGGAATGAATATATCTTGGAAGAAGTGTAACGGGGGCTCGGGGTGGGGGGGTAAGACATGCAACAGGAGTGCTTCTTAAGTATGAGAATAGTGACTTCATCTCACTTTGGGCATGTTGTCAGGAGGGGCCAATGCCTGGAAAAGGACAACAGGCTTGGAAAAGTGGAGGGTCAATCCCTAGAAAATAACAACGTACTTGGAAAAGTGGGGACTCACCGATGCAGAGGAAGCCCCTCAATGAGATGGATTGTTGCAGTGACTCAAACAGTGGAAACAGAAGAAATGGTGAAAATGACGCAGGATGGGACAAGGTTTCATTATGTCATACGTAGACAGGCTAACTGGAAGCACCTAACAGCAATATTTGCCTTGGGGATAAATTTGTCAGAATCTCAGAGTAAACTATCTGCCTTTGAGCAGAGGGAATTGCACTGGTTTTCTGGCCGGAATTTTACTCTTTTGGATGTGTGCAAGTTATTCTTTGGAAACTGAAGGTTCCCTTGAACAGAGGTTCAGCTGCTATGCTTACTCAGAGTGCAAAGATCTTGGGCCCTTTTCCCAATGCCCTATTTGTCACTGTCACTTTCCAGCACGGAACCAGGCATTTCTCCCTACCTACCATGGTGGGGCGCACGAGGCACATGTTAGCCTGCAAGTTCTTTCCTTTCCAAGTCGGCCTTGGCGCCCTTAAGGATTATCAGTCCTTGGGTGTTCCTGCCTCTGGCCTCCAGCTGTTGCTCTCTTCTCGCGAGGACTGCTCCTCTTGTCCTCTCCCATCACAAACCCCTCCCGCGAGCAGGTTCCTTATTGGGTAAAATCTCGGCTCGCGGAGAGTCCCGGGAGCTATTCTCGCGAGAGTACAGAGGGTGGCTCCTGCTCGCTGGCTCTGGGGCCGCGACCACTGGTGTCTCAACGGGAGTTGCAGCTGCAGCTGGGTGGTGCAATCCCCAGTCGGCCCGATCTTGGCCGGTGTGCAAGCGCACTACAGCAGGCGCAGCCCTGAGCCTCGTTGCGCGCTCCTGCCCTTCACTGGGCTCCCCCTGGTCACTAAGGCGCAGCTAGCCGCTGCAGCTGACAGGGGCCGAACGCGCGCGCGGTAGCCGGTGGGGCTGCAGCTGCCGCACCTGCGCGGGCGGCCGGTGAAGGATCCCGGCCCGGCTGAGCAAGCAGCGAGAATCGGGGAGTGGGTACGGGCGCAGGCGGAGGCCGGGCAGGGCCACCTCCTCACCCTGCGACCGGCGCTGGAAGATGTCTCAGGAGAGGCCCACGTTCTACCGGCAGGAGCTGAATAAGACAATCTGGGAGGTGCCCGAGCGCTATGAGAACCTGTCCCCTGTGGGATCCGGTGCCTATGGCTCCGTGTGGTGAGTGTCCCCATACCCGAGACCGAGGAGGGCACGTGTGGCCCCTCGCACCTGAGGGCCAGGCCTCCGCAACACGACTCAGCGATGTGCCAAACAAGAGCGATTTTCCATTTGGGGGCAGCATCACTCCCCCTTCCAGCTCTTCCTTGCACCCCAATTTGCATGCCAAGTTGGTGGTCAGTTTTGTGCAGGAGGCAGTTCCACGCTGGGCTTGAAGGTGGGGGAGGGCTGCTGGAATTCGGCCCTGACTCGCACCCTGTGCAAATGCAAAGGACAGGGTAAGCTTCCCAGAAGGCTTCTGCTTGGGGAACAGGGACTTGGGGAGGGTCTCCCTGCTGGCGTCGAGCTGAAGCACCCTCCTCTGGGGTGCGCCCACCCTGGGGCGCCCGCGCTGGCCCTCTGCTCGGACTAGCCTGGTAGCTGGCTGGGAGAAGCAGAAGGGCAGAGCCCGAGCCGCAGACTGCGACCATCTGATCGAAATTGACAAGGAAGGGCGCTCTCCCCGGGCTTTTTAGCTGTTGAAAACTGGTTTTGAGAAGCGCTCTCTTCGAATTCTCGCTGGAATTAGTAGCTACTCATAGAGCTTAAAATACCTACTTTATCTAGGCGAACGCTGTGCCAGTTTTGAGTGGTGTGTTTCCGATTCAGTTGAAAGCGTATTTCCTTTTCGTGAAGGGGGGCTGGTGGCGTTAGTGCCTGCAAGAACTCTGTTGTTTTAAGAGACCAGCCGCCTCTCTGATTAGTCACATTCCTCTGCTCATTTAAGTATTGTTTGACAAAGCAATTGTCTCATTTGGAGCAAAGAATATTCAGGACATTGGACGCTTTCAAGATCAAAAACTTAACCGTGCTGGGAAATATTGTGAATAATTTTCAACTGCCATAATTCCTACAAATGTTGTCTTTTAAAAATATTTTCTATAGGGATTGCAGGAAACCTACTCTCCATTCATGACCAGAATAAATGAGGGTTTGCATAGCACATAGCAAAAAGGAAGAAGACGGTCCAGCTTTAATTTACTCAGCGACCGTGTTTTAAATTAAATTTTTTACTCAGCGACCGTGTTTTAAATTACATTTTTACCACATATCAAGCCCATAAAATTTGTGGACTTGGAATATTTCAGTCACGTCTTTCTTGCTTGTAAGGTTTCATACACTGTGTTTTAGATTTTAACATGAGTGCCCCTGTTCTGAAACGATTATCAGATATTAGTGTTTTCTGAGTTTTGGTAGTTCATGTGCATACAGTATGTGAAAAGGGGGCTATAATAGAGACTTTTGCTTAGAAACGTTCTCCGGATTTTGAACATGTTGCTTTTAAAAGTGTAATTCCTGTTTTCCTTAAAGTCACATCATGAATTTCCTGTTTGGTGAAATCTTCTGGGTAATTGATATTATGCAATTTAGTCCTGCAACAGATCATATTGCATTTTCAAAGTTCAAGCTGCTTGAGTTATGAAGCACATAGCACTGTGTTTGATATATTTTCTCATTTTTACAATATGACAGTTTATAGTTTAACAGAATTTGCAGCATTTTGCATTCACTGTGTATATTTATTTGTTAATGTTCAGAGACATTTACATATTTGCTCCTTTTAAGTTCATAAATTTACCTTCACTTTTTAATGAATATATTTTTAGAAAATCGAGTGTTTGTTTACAGTGTTTCTATGTAAACTTTAGTGGAACCATACAGCAGAATAACTCATCTACAGGGAATTTGGGTGCACTTGAAAACTTTTGCTTGCAAAGTTTCCCTACTACTAGTGTGAATTGTTTTGTACTAAACTGGAGGTCAAGATTTACAATAAAGTGATGGTGAAGAGATTGAGATTGTTCACAGCTTTAGTCAGCTTGGCTCCACGGTTAACAGTCTTGGCACCAGCAGCAAGGAAATTAAAAGACATACTGTGATGGAAAAAAAAAAAAGATTTACAATAAAGTGCCAATAAAATGATTCTATAATTCTTAAGTTCTATATTGTTCTGGCTTATATTTTTATACCTACAGTAGCTAACATTTGGAAATAAGTTTGTTAAACAGGCTTTTTGAAAAAATTTTTTGTTTTATTTTTTATTATTTTGTGTGTGTGTGCTGTCAAATTGGATCTGACTGGTGCAGGAAGATTGTCCTTTCTCCAGCAGAGCATTTGGTGGATTCCAATCGTGCACCTCTGGGAGGTGCAGCTTCTTGCCACTAGGCCACCAGAGCTCTCTTAAACAGACTTTTTAAAAAGTAGATTCATGCATTCACATTTTTAAAATCTGAAAACTATGGTAGAGAATTTAGTGAAAAGTCTTCCTTATTTTCTGTTTGCCTGTTACTTTCTTACCTTCTGCAGAAACAACCACTATTAAAGTCTTATGTTCTTTTCTGGGAGGAAAAGGATTGGCTGGTTGTTTTAAATAGTTTTTTCTTTTAGATATTTCTGTGGAAAAACCCATTGGAGGATCAGCCATGAGTTGGTTCTGATTCCACAGCACACAGTAACAAAGATGCAACAAAGTGTCCAAAGTGGCACAAATGGATGATGCACTTGGCTGCTAACTGAAAGACAGGAAGTTACAGTACAAAGATGCCTGGAAGAAAGGCCTAGTGATCTACTTCATTTAAAAAAAAAAAATAAAGCCAGTGTTTAAAACCAGGAGGAGAAGACTCTTAATGAGGTAGATTGACACAGTGACTGAAACATTGGGTTTGACTATGGCAGAGATCATGAAGATGGCACAGAATCAGGCAAGATTTAGATCTGTTATATAGGTCACTATGAATCAAAGTGGGAGCTCTGCTAGCCCCGTGATAAGGAGATGTGCTGGCAACACAAAAGTACACAGTTCAAATCCACCAGTTGTTCAGCTGAGAAAAGATGGGTAGACTCCTCCTGTGCAGTCAACTGCCTTTGAAAATCTCATGGAGGGTTAACTATGGGTCGGTTCTGACTCAGTGTTACACTAAAACAACAACATGAGCAAAAGAGAGGAGCTCAAGTGGCATAGTGGTAAAAAAGCTGTGCTGTAATTCCAGATGGCATGCAGTTCAAACCCAACAGCTGCATGCAGGAGAAAGATGAGCAGTCTCCTCTTGTGTGATTTACTGTCTCTGAAAACCCACTGGAGGGTCAGCGATGAGTCAGTTCCAACTCAACAGCAAACAAAAACAGCAGTCAAAGCCAGTTCAATGGCACCTGAAAATAGATACGTTTAGATGGCTGAAGGGACTGTCGCTGTATAATGAGATGATCCACACAATTAAAAGCACCACCTCCAACAAACTCCCTGTGGAGTGCCATGAGTCAGAGTCTACTGGAAGCTACCTTGTGTATATAGTATGAAAAGAGAAGATGCAACCTGTGGAGGAAAATACCGCTAAAATTACATGAAAGTTGCCTGTAAACAAATATAACTGCTTTTGCCATGAAAATACCAGGGGTCAGATTGATAAACTGCTATCTCAGAGTAGGGAACTCTGATGGCTTGGTGGTAAGAAGTAGCAAGTAGCACGGTAATCCCAAAGGCATATGATTTGAATCTACCAGCTGTTCCGCAGGAGGAGGACAGACATCTCCTCCCATGCAGTTTCCTGCCTCTTAGAACCTGCTGGAGGGTCAACCATGAGTCAGTTCCGACTTGACGGCACACAACAACTGTCTCAGAGTAGCTCTTTGAAGTTATTAACATTTTTCTAGATAGGACAGAAAAGGTGTTTTATTTGTTTGGGTTTTTAAAAAAAATTTATTTTATTTTTATTCTTTTTTTGTGTGTATGTGTACCGTCAAATCAGATCTGACTAATACAGGAGGAGATTGTTCCTCCTTCTCCAGCAGAGCATCTGGTGGATTCGAACCACGCACCTCTGGGATAGCAGTGCAGCTTCTTGCCACTAGGCCACAAGAGCTCACCAAGGTGGTTTTTTTTAAAAAATAACTTCTCTTAGAACTTTCTTTGGTGCCATTATAACTATTCTTTGAGAGCAGATCTGATTTTAGAAAATAGCTAAAAGTCAAATTGAATCCAAGTGATGTGAACATTCAGATGCTCAAATCTCATGAAAAAGATTAGGAAATTAGATTGGAGATATTATTTTAGGTCAGATAGGAATTGCAGCTATAAAGTAGGAACAATTTCTGGTGTGGCTTGTAGGACTAGACCTAAAGTCTGTTCCACAAAAGAAACTTGATTTTTAGAGAAACACAGCATACTTGAAAAAAGTATTCACTTTTCCAATTACTATTGAGTATGTTCACTTTTATGTGTAAGGGTTTTTTTTTTCTTTTTAAGCCTATTTTCATTAATATATAGGCTGCACTAAAATGCAAACGATATTCTGTGTTAGCCAACTATGAATCACAGATTAAGGAATCAAACTAAAAACTTGATAGTATTTTACAAGTTTGTCTTTCTTTGCTTAAGATGAAAGGGAACTAAACTTCACAGTTTTAAGGAACTTTGTGCATTTTCTGTGACCGGAAATGAAGCAAAATTGTTTAAGAGAATGTTGTTGCAAAGCATTGATTTTGTGGTTTTGGGACAGAAGGGGAGAATCTTTGTGGTGAGTTTAAGGAAATATAAACAGGAACTTAAATGCCTTTCCTCTCGGGTATGGTTTTTCCCATTTCTTGTTGATTGAGGAAGAGGGGCAGTGCACTACAACCCAAAAGGAGGGTGATGAGAACAGAGAACTACTCAGATCATGGTTCCATCCGTTGTTGTCCTAAGAGTTAGTCTGATGTGGGCCACTTGGCCAACTTAATCCACTTGGCCAAACACACTGACGTGGAATGGATTCACTCACAGCGGCCCTCCACTGGGTTTCTGAGACTATCCATCTTTCTCCTATGGAGCAACTGGTAGATTCCAATCACTGACCTTTCAGTTAGCAGCCTAACACGTTACCTGCTACACCAGCAAGGCTTCCTAACTTGGCTATATTTAAAAGGGGGGGAGGGGGAAAGCCAAAACCACACTGCTGTCAAGTCCACACCGACTCATAGATGAC